GTTCCTCCTCCCTCCTCCTCCCGCCGGCCCCTGGTGAGGCCTCGGGCACCATGTCCTCAGGGGAGGAGGATTTGGAGCCATCCGATGTCCCCAGCTCCTTCCTGCTCCCTGTGTCCCTTTGCGGGGCTTTGGCCTTGGGCTTCTCGGGCTCCTTCTTGAGGGGGGTCTTCTTGACGCTCCCGGCCTTGGCCAGGGGTTTGCGGGGCTCCGGGACCGGCGTTTTCCGGGCTGGGGTCTTGGCAGGAGCCTTGGCCTCTGCCTTGGTCTCCTTTGCGTCCTTCCGCAGCACCTCAGCCTTCACCTCCTTCTTCACCACCTTCACCTCCTTCTTGGCCTCCACCTTCACCTCAGTCCCCTCATCCTTCCTCGGTGGCTTCTTCTCCTCTTTCCGGGGGACAGCCTCCTTCTTGGGCACCGTCTTCTCCTTGCTCAGCTTCAGCTTTGCATCTGCCTTCAACTTCTCCACCGAAGAGTCCAGCTTGGCTCGAGCATCCTTGGCTTTCTCCTCTTCTGACCCTGCTCTGGCCGCCTCCCCCAGGGGTTTTGGCTTCTCCTTGGTCACTGCTTTCACCTCCTTCTTCTCCACCTTTGGAGCCTTCTCCTTCGGCACCGGCGCCCCAGCGTCCACCAAGCTGAGCTTGGAAGCAGACTTGAGGCTCTCCTTGCTCTCTGCCCTCCTCTGCTTGAGCAGCTTCTCAGGTTGGGATGCCGCCGGCCCCTTCAGGTCGTTCTTGGTGACCACAGGGTGCTTGAGGAACTCCAAGTGCTTCACCTTCTCCAGCCCCTCCAGGATGCGGCCCTGGGGGGTGCAGCCGGGGAACAGGACCCGGATGATCTTCTCGGAGGGGCTGACGGGGTGCCAGACGAGCAGGGCGCACACCGAGGTCAGGCACTGCAGGGGCAGGTCCTGCTCCTTGGGGTAGCTGTTACCCGACCATTGCTGCAGGAGAAACTCCAGCTCCTTGGTGCCCTTGACGGGGTTCAGGACGTACATGTCCAAGCGGCCCACTCCCATCTTCTGGAAGAGCACGGTGGGCTCCGCGCGGGGCCCGCTGTCCCGCGCCAGCAGGTTGGGACGGATGCCCAACTTCTCCAGGTAGTGCAGGGTCAGGGCAGCCTCGTCGCAGCTCTTCAGCACCCGGGAGTTGCCCTCGATGTCCTTCAGCTTCTCGGAGGCGTTGAGGAACACGACGCCCAGCTCCGGGGAGATGAGGTTCTTGGCCCAGTCCCCGTTGCCCTGCGAGCCCTGGGATGGATCCTCCTCCAGCTCGGCCAGTTTCCTCTGCAGGAGGCTGTTGACACCAGGCAGGCTGTCGGTGCCCGCGTGCGTCACCAGGATGGAGTCGATGCGATCCAGGTGCCGCACCAGCTTCCAGAAGGATGACTTGGGGTTGG